GGGGGCAGCGGAGGCAGAAAGTTGCACTCCCCCCAGCCACACGACCGCAGAAGCCCACGTCGCCAAGGGGGCGGTTCCCGCTACCAGAGATCTGGGCGACGTGTATTCTCCCGAGCCCTTGAGTGGGCCTTTGACCCGGAAAGGGAAGTTCTGCATCCGTTCCAACATGGCGCTATCCACGCCGCTGCTGGCAGGTGGGTTCTGTGCCAACGGCTAAGGGCCGCGGCGGGTGGCGCCCGGACGAGCAGCGCGCTCTTCTGCGGGCCGCCAGCAGGGCCCGTCCTGCGCCCCTTGTGGGGAACGTCCCGGTCACGCCGGGCTGCTGAGCTCTCCCCGCCCCCCTCCTCAGCCTGCCTCGCGGGACGGTCCCTCCCGCCGGCCTCCGGCCCTTGCTTCCCACTGAGCTCCCACGCGCCCCTTTCTGGCCTGGCCTGGCCCCTCGGCACGTTCCCGTGAGTGGCCGCCATGACCAGTTTGCTCTGCCTTGTGGGGCAGGCGCACGCTGCCTTTCAGCCTGGCACCTCCAGGCACCAAGCTGCCGTGTCGGTGCAGGCCGCCCTGCCGGAGAGATCCTACGCTGGCGCGTGCCCTGCGCGTGGGGATGCGTCTGAGCTGTGGGCTGCTTTGCTGTTGGTGGGATGGAGATACAGACCTGGAGCCGGTGAGGGTCCCAAGGGAACATCACAAGTTGGCCCATGTGCATGGTGACCATATTTTCTGAAGCAAAATTAGGGACATATTAGCCACACCACCTGCCACAGGAAGTTGCATCCCTGGAGGTAGTACTCCCAGGGTCAAGAGGGACACATGACCAGAAATAAAAGGTGGGTGTGACCCCTCTAAGAACTCCTCCTACCAATAGGAATAAGTTTGTCCCCCACAGAACACCCCCTGCACATGCAACTATACTGCAAGGCTGTGTCTACACTGGGCCACTTATTCTGGAAAATCAGCTGCTTTTCCGGAATAAGCTGCGAGCTGTCTACACTGGCCCTTGAATTTCCGGAAAAGCAACAATGCTCTACTGTACAAAATCAGCCGCTATTCCGGAAAAACTATTCTGCTCCCGCTCGGGCATAAGTCCTTACTCCGGAACACTGTTCCGGAAAAGGGCAAGTGTAGACAGCCCAGTAGTCTTTTCCGGAAAAAAGCCCCGATCGCGAAAATGACACTCGGGGCTCTTTTCCGGAAAAGCGCATCTACATTGGCCACGGACGCTTTTCCGGAAAAAGGGCTTTTCCGGAAAAGCAGCCTGCTAATGTAGACGCTCCTTTTCCAGAAATACTTATAACGAAAACTATTCTGTTTTAAGCATTTCCGGAAATTCATGCCAGTGTAGACACAGCCCAATAGTATTAACTTGGGAGGAGGGAGAGGAGGAGAGGAGAGGCTGGGAGAAGTGTTCTCTCTAAGATTTTCCTTCCATGAGCGGAGTGCATTTTGTCTTGTGCACCAGTATTGAGTTAATGTGCGCTTGTTTGGATGTGTGCCACTATGGCCCCCAAGTTATTAATTAATATTTTATAAAATTCTCCCTTTTCCCTCTGCTGCCATGTCTCCCACCCTCCTCTTGCCCCATCTGCTCCCCTGGTGCCTGCTGCTGTCCCTCACCGTCCTCTGCTGTCCTGGCTCCTGCCCTTCTCAGACCTTTGGGGGCCTGACCCCTGACCCCATCCCTCTTGACCCCTGCACCAGCACTTCTCTTCCCCCTGTGTCCACTCTGTCCCACTCTGATCATCTATAGGTACCCATCCTTCCCTTCTCCACCTGCCCTGTCTCTCTCTCTTCTGTCACTGTCCTCTCCCCGTGTCTGCCCTTTTGCTTCACCCCACAATTCCCTGGCACCTGCAGCTTCCCTTATCCCTGCACCTTCCTTGTGCCTCCCCTTTCCCTCACTGTCTCTACCCCCTTGCCCTCTTCCTCCTGGTGACCACCCCCTCACCACCCTCTGCCCCAGTTCCCCTCATGCCCCTCTGTGCTCTCACACATGACTTGCTCCATCCCCTGCCTTCCTTGTACCCACCCCTCTTTTCAATCCCTTTTCTCTTGGTACCCACTTCTCCCCTCTCCTCTTCCTCTCTCTTGCCCCCATTGCCCCTTTCCTCTCCCAGCATCACCCTGTTCCCTCCCTTTTCCCACCCCACTGACACCTTCCTTCTCTTTCCCCCCTCCTGCCCTTTTCCTCATTGTCTCCTCTTGGCCCTCGTGCATTTATCTCTATGCTGCAGTCTGCCCCTTGATGCCTTCCCCTTTCTTTTCCTGCCCTGCCCCCTCCTCCACCCCCCAGCACAAGGCTTGACTCCAGCTGGAGCCGGGACCACTTGTGGCTACCTGGACCGTGGTACTAAAAATAGCACCGCAGGTGGCCTCTGCTGCAATCCTGGCACCTGCTAAGCCCGAGCGTGCCCTGCCCTGCAGTGCTCCAACCGGGCTCTGCGTGACTCTTGCTGGGGCTCGAAGATGTGGAGGTTTAGGAGAAGCTCCGGCCCCGCAGCTGGGGCGGCAGCAGCAGCTGTACTAACAAGCAGCCTGGAGGTAGAGGAGGCTGTGCCACTGGACTGGGACCCTGCACGGCAGAGACGGTCTCGCATGGGAGGGGAAGGGGCTGCATACCATCAGCAGCTGGCCCGGCTGGCCACCGGCATAGCTCCAATGAGGTTTTTGGGGATTTTTTGCTTCTCTCTTTAGTGCAGCCCCCAATTAATTTTTCTGTGGGCCAGCAGCCACCAACCCAAAAAAGGTTCCCCCCCCCATTATAGTTAGTCATATCAGAACACATTTATTTGCTTGCACTCATCTTAGCAAGTGATCCAGACTACTCTGTTTTAATGACTTGTCCTCTTTCTCTTTTTATTAATCCAACAATTTTTGTACTATCTGCAAACTTTATCAGTGATGATTTTATGTTTTCCTTTAGGTTATTAATAAAACATATTAAATAGGGCTGATAGATGGTCCTTGTGAAATCCGGGTGGAAACAACCCGCTTGAATAGGAGCTCCCATTTACAGTTACATTTTGAGATCTGTTGGCTAGTTTTTAATCCATTAAATACAAGCCATGTTGATTTTGTTAGCTCTAATTTTCTAATCAGAAATGGCAGTACTGTTACCAGATTTGCCCAATACTCTGGGGTATGCTCATTTACTAGGGTTCCTCTTATAGGACTGGGTCAGTGTGCTGCTTGTGCTTACTTGTGCTCTCCTATGGAGCTGAATTCTCCCTGCTGCCAATTCCCCCTCCCACTGGAGCTCTCCTTTAGGAACTAGGTTCCTCAGGATGAGGTTCTTCCCACCTTAGCAACACACACAGACACTCACATCCACTAAGGGAGCACTCCTGAGAAGACTGGGTAATCAGAAATCATAAACTGACCCCTCATATGTCCCTGGACTCAGCTGGCTGGGTTTCACAGCAATGCCACACTGCACCCTCATGTGCCTTTGGACTCAGTGGACTGGATTAAACAGCACTTTAAGCTTCCATCCTCATATGCCCCCAGGTTCAGCACTTCCCTGTCCCCACTTTCACACCACAGTCATTCGCAGGTAAACCACACGATGAGCAAACCGCACAGGATTTTGGGCACTACAGGAATCTTTAGCTTGGGTACAAGAAGCATTGTTGCAGAGCAAATGGGGAAGCCAAAACAACAGTCCTTGAGGAAGAGTGAGCAAAAGAGAGAAGCAATCAGCTTAACAATTAAAGGTATTATATATGGAGCCAAACACACAAAACAGTTATAATATTACATCTAACAGTTACAATATTAAATCTAAATTGAAACTGATTACAAATGTTAGGGATAGCTAACCATATCACAGTTTAGATAGGGCAGAGTCAGGAGGCTAGGCAGAGAGAGGTAGTTGGAGGAGGGAGGGGGGAGAGAGAGAGATGCCTCACCAAGCCGAGGAGCTTGCACTGATTGGGGTTGCCAGATGGTGATGGGAGCTGGGTGTCCAGAGGGCAGGAGACAAGCAGAGTCCCAGCACGATCAGACAGGAGATGAAGAAGTCTCAATGGAACTGATGCAGTTTAAATCTAGGTATCAGAACAGTTTTTCTTGGGCAAAGATAGGAGCTTTTTTTATAGGGATAGGACAATAGTTTGAAGAGAACACTGGATTTCTTTATGGGTAAACAGACAATACAGACTGATCACACCTGGTGATTATGGAAGATGTTCCTTGAAGGAGCTCACAAAGCAACTAGGTCATTTCAGTGTTTTGGATGTCAATAAGGGCCATTAGTAGAATTGGTGTGATAATGACTAATTTGGGTGTGAGCAGGCCTGCGTTCATTAGCATCTGGAGCAGAGATTTCCCATCAGTCAGTGCTTCTCTGCTTTCGGTATCCCATAGTTCAGTCTGGTTCCTGCTTTGGAAGAGCTGGTCTCCATTCTGTATGCTAATGGAGATGACTCTCTGTTCTGTCTTCCATGCAGATGAGGCTGGGGTGTTTCCTTAATTGTATCA